AGTCAAGCAGAGAAAGTCAATTATCATATGGTTTCACTTATTTGTGGAACATAAGGAATAGCATGGAGGACTCTAGGAGAAGGAAGGGAAAAATGAGGGGGGGCGGAATTGGAGGGAGAGATGAACCATGAGAGACTATGGACTCTGAGAAACAAACAGGGTTTTAGAGGGGAGGGGAGAGGGGGTATGGGTTAGCCCGGTGATGGGTATTAAGGAGGGCACATACTGCATGGAGCACTGGGTGTTATATGAAAACAATGGATCGTGGATCACCACATCAAAAACTAATGATGTATTGTATGGTGACTAACATAACATAATAAAATTTAAAAAAAAAGAAAAGAAACTAGATGACTTACTTACACCATACACAAAAATAAATTCAAAGTGGTTTAAGACCTAAATGTGAGACCTGAAATAATAAAAATCCTAGAAGAGAACACAGGCAAATATCTTACCCCATTCCATGGATTGCCTTAGTTTTGTTGACTGCTTCCTTCGCTGTGCAAAACCTTTTTATCTTGATGAAGTCCCAAAAGTTCATTTTTGCTTTTGTTTCCCTTGAATTTAGATACATGTCTTGAAAGAAGTTGCTGTGGCCGATGTCGAAGAGGTTACTGCCTATGTTCTCCTCTAGAAATTTGATGGATTCCTGTCTCACATTGAGGTCTTTCATCCATTTAGAGTTTATTTTTTTGTATGCTGTAAGAGAAAGGTCAGTTTAATTCTTCTGCATGTGGTTGTCCAGTTTTCCCAGCACGATTTATTGAAGAGACTGTCTTTTTTCCATTGGATATTTTTTCCCGTGTTGTCAAAGATTAGTTGACTATAGAGTTAAAGGTCCATTTCTGGGATATCTATTCTGTTCCATTGATCTATGTGTCTGTTTTTGTGCCAATACTATACTCTCTTGTTGACTACAGCTTTGTAATATACCTTGAAGTCAGGCATTGTGATGCCCCCAGCTTTGGTTTTCTTTTCCAACATTCCCCTAGCAATTCGGGGTCTTTTCTGTTTCCATACGAATTTTAGGATTGTTTGTTTCTGCTCTGTGAAAATGTCAATGGTATTTTGATAAGGATTGCATTTAAAGGTAAATTGCTCTGGGGAGCATAGACATTTTTACATTTCAGATAAAGGGCTGGTATCCAAGATCTAGAAAGACCTTATCAAACTCAACACCCGGAAACAAATAATCCAGTCAATATATGGGCAGAAGACATGAACAGACACTTCTCCAAAGAAGACATACAAATGGCTAATAGACACATGAAAAAAATGTTCCAGATTTCAAATTATACTAGCCATCAAGGAAATACAAATCAAAACCACAATGAGATACCACCTTACACCAGTTAGAATGGCAAAAATGAATAAGACAGGAAACAACAAGTGTTGGGAAGGATGTGGAGAAAGAACATTCTTACACTGTTGGTGGGAATGCAAGCTGGTATAGCCAGTCTGGAAAACAGTATGGAGGTTCCTTAAAAAGTTAAAAATAGAGCTACCCTACAACCCAGCAATTGCACTACTAGGTATTTATCCCAACGATACAGATATAGTGAAAAGAAGGGGCACATCGACCCCAATGTTCATAGCAGCAGTGTCCACAATAGCCAAACTATGAAGGGAGCTGAGACGCCTTTCAACAAATGAGTGGATAAAGATGTGATACATATATACAATTGAATATCACTCAGCCATCAGAAAGGATGAATACCCACCATTTGGATAGACATGGATGGAACTGGAGGGGATTATGCTAAGTGAAATAAGGCAAGCAGAGAAAGACAATTATCCTATGGTTTCATTTACATGTGGAACATAAGGAATAGCATGGAGGACCACAGAGGAAGGGAGGGAAAACTGAACAGGAAGAAATCAGAGAGGGAGACAAACCATGAGAGACTCTGGACTCCTGGAAATAAACTGAGGGTGAGGGTTACAGAGGGAGGCGGGTGGGGGGATGGGGTAACCAGATGATGGGCATTTAGGAGGTCACGTGTTGAGATGAGCACTGGATGTTATATGCAACTAAGGAATTGTTGAACACTACATCAAAAACTAATGATGTACTATATGCTGGCTAACTGAACATAATAAAAAAATAATAAATTAAAAAAATAAAGATTATGCTGTGGGAAAAAAAAGAGAGAGAGAGCACAGGCAGTAGTCTCTGACATCAGCCACAGCAACATTTTTCCAGATATGTCTCCAGAGACAAGGGAAACAAAAACAAAAATAAACTGTTGGGAGTACATTAAATAAAATGCTTCTGTACAGCAAAGGAAACAATCAACAAAACTAAAGGACAATCACTGAATGTGAGTAGATATTTCCTAATAACATATCTGATGTTATGGTTAGTATCCAAAATATGTAAACAACTTGGGCAACTCAACACCAAAAGAGCAAATAATCCAATTAAAAATGGGTAGAAGACATGAGTAGATATTTCTCTAAAGAAGACATTCAGATGGCCAACAGACACAGGAAAAAATGCTCAACATCTCTCATCATCAGGGAAATGCAAATCAAAACCACAATGTGATATCACCTCACACCTGTCCTATTGGCTAAATTCAAAAAACACATGAAAAACAAGTGTTGTAGAGGAAGTGGAGTAAAGGGAACTCTTGTACACTTGGTGGGAGTGCAAACTGGTGCAGCCATGGTAGAAAACAGTATGGAGGTTCCTCAAAAAATTAAAAACAGAAATACCACGTGATCCAGTAGTTGTACTACTGGATATTTACCCAAAGAATGTGAAAACGGTGAAAAAAAAAAAAAAAGAAACATTCACCCCAGTGTTTACTGCAGCATTATTTACAATAGTTCATGTATGGAAGCAGCCCCAGTGTTCATACATAGAGGAATACAGAAAAAAAACATGGTACATTCAATGGGATATTAGCCATAAAAACGACAGAAATCTTGCCATTTGCAACAACATGTATGGAGCTAGAGAGTATGGTGGTAAGTGAAATAGTCAGAGAAAGACAAATACCATATGATCTCTTCATATGTGGAATTTAAGAAACTAACAAAAGTAACAGAAAAAAGTGACAAAGGAAAAAAAAACCAGACACTTGTCTATAGAGAACACACTGCTGGTTCCCAGAGGGAAGGTGGGGGGCATGGGAGGAAGTGGGTGAAGGGGATTAGGATTACATTCATATGGATGAACATTGAGTGGTATATAGAATTGCTGAATCCCTATACTTTACACCTGAAAGTAATATAACATTGTATGTTAACTATCCTGAATCTTAAAATAAATTTGGAACACCGAAATATATAGTTTTTGGTTTATGTGTTTTTCTTTTCTAAAAGCTCCTTGAATGAAGTGATTGCACTGTGAATACTGTATTTTCATGAGTGTAGCATGGTGCTTGGATCCAGGCAGGTGCTAAGTGACTGTTTGGTGAGTGAATCTATGTTAATGCAAGTCAGATGGAGGGGGTATTCTTCAGATGTTTCAGTGTCCTGTGGTTTCTGTGATGGCTTCTTGTTTTCCCCTAAGAGTAGTGGTGAACTGGTGGTTGCTGATACTTTTACACAGGCAATCGTGGGGGAATCTGGACAAGCAAATAGAGCAACTATTAGAAAGAAAACATTGGGCCCAAATGGCACCTTGGGGCAGACCAAGTCCCTAAACCTTGCTTAATCCCTAACCTCTCCCCGAAATTTTCACCAGTCAGTTAGGAATTCTCTGGTCAGCACCAGTGAGGTACTCTGTCACATGGGCCCTCTCCACCCCCAAGGTGGGGAGATCATCTGCATAGTAAGACCCCTGCTCTCCTAATTAAGGGAAGGTGACCTTCCCTGAAACACTCCTTTCTCTTCTTTGCCAACTTCCTTGCTACGAAGCTTCCCATTGCAACCCTCCTTATAGCGCCCCTCTACCTGCCAGATGGGATGCTGTCTGATTCTTGAATCACTTAATAAAACCAATTAGATCTTCAAATTTACCTTGTTGATTTTGTTTTTTAACATAAACAGTGAGAAGTCAGAGATGTGAAGGGGCTGGGGTGTGAGTGAGATGGGGAAGGAAATACACGGGGGGTGTCACAAGGGCAGGAGGGATAGAGTGACAGCAGGTTCCAGGGCTGGGTGCTGGGGATCCTTGTGTTTTCATGGGTTTATGTCTGGAGGAGAAGAAAATGTAGGAGAGGTAGGGTCAGTTTCCATGCTACACAGGACTCGTTATGTAGCATTTAAACTAGGGGATGGGGAGCAGAATGGAAGCTGGTGACAGGGAGAAGCTGGAAGCCAGAAGGAGGGTCAGACCAGGAGGGGAAGTGAGAGTGTCCCGGGTTGAGGGAGGAGCACATTTGCATTGTCGCAGAGACTCAGGGAAGGCTGGTGTGTGGAGAAGGGAGTCAGAAGAGAGGGGCTGTGTGTGGTGTAGGTTTGTTAGAAAATAGGTCAAAGACCGACTTTGTAAGAGAAAGAAAGAACATCTGCAAATACAATGCTGTTCCTGCAACTTGTGTTGCTGGTGGTTCTCCTCCCAGGTGGTGACAGTGAAGATGGTGAGAACTCTGGCTCTGCCCAGAGGGTACACAGTGTGTTTTGTGTGTGTGTGTGTGTGTGTACATCTGTTTATGTGTCTGTGTCTGTTTATGTGTGTCTGTGTGTTTCTGCCAGTCTGTGTGTGTTTGTGTAAGTCTGTGTGTTTGTGATGTGTGTACATGTGCTTGTGTGCATTTGAATATGTGTATATGTATGTGTGTATAGGTGTGCCTTGTGCATCTCTGTGCATGTGCGTGTGTGTATGTGTGTGGGTATGTGTCTGCGTGTCTGTTTGTATATGTGCATATGTGTGTGTATATGTGTACATCTCTGTGTGTGTCTGTATGTGTGTATTTGTGTCTCTGTGTGTGTGCACTCATGGTCTGAGTTCCCCAATGCATAACTGTGGAGGGAGAGTGTCAGCCTGGTTCCTTTCTGAGCATCCCTGACCCCAGGGCCCTGTGCTCTTCTGAAGGTTGGATATGAAGCTGGGGGATCTGGAGCGGCAACTGTCTCCTGAGACAACTATGGCTTCTCTGGCCTCCAGATTTTGGTTCTCCACCCTCTCACCTTCTTCTCCAATCCCTCTCCTTCCCAATGCTCTCCACATTCAATGTTTATCTGTCCTTTTTCCACAGCCTTCCAGGAGCCAATCTCTTTCCGAATCCTCCTGACCACATCTTTTTACAGCCGTTCCCGGACACAAAATCAAGGCTCAGCTTGGTTGGATGAGCTGCAGACTCATGGCTGGGACAATAAGACTGGTGCTTTCATTTTTCTGCAGCCTTGGTCTAAAGGCAACTTCAGCAATGAGGAGCTGTTGGAAGTAGAAAAGTTATTCTACACATACTCCGTTAGGTCTCCTTCAACATATCATAACCATGTCAGGGAATGGCAGCTTGAATGTGAGTTCATTTCTCTCTGGGTTGGGTTGTAGGTGGCAGGTATGTGTGTGTCTCATTGAGTTCCTTCTTTCTCTAGGAAACGAACTGCACTGTCTTCTGACCCTTACCTCTCTCTATCTGAAAATTGAATCACACCCATCTGGGCAGGGGGTAGAAGCCAGACTGTGATTCTTGAAAAGCTTCATGTTTTCTTTAGCTTCCCCCTCCCCTCATTGACCACAGGCTCTGCTCTCCTGTCTCCCACTAGTGTCTCCCAGGACCACCCCTTTCTCTGGCCTCCAACCAGGCACCCTTGCTCCCTCACTTGTGACTGACTTTGAACTGTGCTTTCTCCCCATTCAATCCCAGCAGCGATGTGTATTTGTACCCCATTGCACTCCCTTCACCCTAGATTGTTTTTACCTCAGCTCTCCTGCTGAGTCGTTCCCTATTCTCTGCCCAAACCCTTCATGTCTCTCTTCCAACATTCGCTGCCTCTTCAATCATTCGCCTTTGCCTCTGCCTGCTGCAACCACCTCTTCCCCTTTGTCTGAACCTCCCCTCAAGTCAAACTTTGCTCCATTCCCTCCAATCCCCAAATTTACCCTTCTACATCCAGCATCCTTGGCTTGCACTCATCCCATTTCATCTCCTTCATTCCCTCTGTATTGTAACTCACAGTCTCTCTTCCCCAGATCCCTTCCAGGTACAGCTGGTGTTAGGCTGTGATTCCCACTTTGGAGAAACATCAGTAGGCTTCATGCGGATTGCTTATCAAGGATCAGATCTCGTGAGTTTCCAGAACACATCATGGTGGCCATCTCCAAAGGGAGGAAGTAGGGCTCAGCAGGTCTGCACAGTATTCAATCAGTACCAGGTTTTCGATGAAATAGTATACAAAATCCTCAGCGACTCCTGCCCCCGGTTCCTGTTGGGTCTTCTTGATGCAGGGAAGACATATCTCCAGCGACAAGGTAAGCCCCACTCCCTCCCTCCATGAATTCTCTACTCTGCCCTCATACATTTGTACTATTCTTTCAAATTCAGGGTAAGAAAGAGTCAAGAGGGAGAGGGGATGATGGTGATGGGTCTAGAGGTAGAAAGATATCTATCTAAAGTGATGTGAAGATCTACTCTCTCAGTCTGTGAATTCCTGCCCTGTCTCTGCAGTGAGGCCAGAGGGCTGGCTGTCCACTGGCCCCAGTCCTGGTCCTGGCCGTCTGCTGCTGGTGTGCCATGTCTCGGGCTTCTACCCAAAGCCTGTGTGGGTGATGTGGATGCGGGGTGAGCAGGAGCAACAGGGCACCCAGCGAGGTGATCTCCTGCCTCATGCTGATGGGACATGGTACCTTCAGATGTCCTTGGATGTGAAATCCAGGGAAGCAGCTGGCCTGTCGTGCCGAGTGAGACACAGCAGTCTCGGAGGCCAGGACATGGTCCTCCACTGGGGTGAGAAAGACTGGGGTCCAGCTGGGAAAGGGCGTGGGTGGTTCTCCAGCAGAGCAGGATAGCCAGATGAAAAATTTGGGTGTTTAGACCAAAAGTGACTAAAAAAAATTGGTAATCCAAGAAATGGAGGAACTGAGAGTCAAGTCTCGCAAATATGGGAGGATGCGTCAGATTGGCTGAAGGGTCCATCTCTGAGGAGGGACGGGAGAAGTGAAAAGAGGAAGGGCGGTTGGTGAGGCAGAGGGTGACCAGAGCAAGGGAGACAGGGAGGTGCAGTGCAGCCCAGGGTCGATGGGAAATGACACCTTCTGTGCACCAAACCCACAGAGCAGCCCCACTCCATGGGCTTGGTCTTCCTGGTGGTGACAGTGCCCCTGGTGCTTCTGGCAGGTCTGGCGTTGTGGCTCTGGAAGCACTGGTATGTCTCTGGAGCCACCTCCCTGTTCTTTCCCCTGTGCCCTCCCACCTTTCAGTCTGTCTTCAGCCCTCCTGCTTACAGCGGCCTTCCCCCTGCTATTCTCACCTCCATCTGCTGCAGAGTGACTCTTCCTCTGTTTCTCCCAGGAAAACACACCAGATACCTCAGTGTGCTGACTTTTCTTCTGAGCGACATCCCAGCAGCCCAGGCTCCAGTACTTACCTAAACCCAGCTCAACGGTGACACCCTTGCAACTCTCTGTGTGTAATTTTGTCTTTCATTTTTGCTTAATGATCGGTTGTCAATATAAGCTCAGTGTAATTTTGGGTGATTTGTTGTTCTGACTTGGTTCTGGAACTTAAGTGTCAAAATTTAACTTGGTGTAAAATGATGTCCCAGCACCTACACGGGTCACAGGCATCAGATGTCACTTCCTCCAGTCAGCCCTCCTTTATTCAGAAGTGGAAGCAGTCTGTCTGGTGAGAATTTCCACCACCTTTTCAGGCACTTTGACAATTCTGTTCCTGACCCCTGGTGCTTGTTTTCCCCAGTCAGGACCCTTATCCCTTCTAATTCTTAGGATTCTTGAGAGAAAAGTCCATGTTTTCTTAATATTTGTATACTTGGCAAGGTGTCTCACCTGCATGGAAAATGTCCTCAATAAAAATCTGTGTTGAATTTATACTAAATACATAGGTTCTTCTTCTTCTTTTTCTTCCTGACATGTTTGTAGCAGTTGAGATGTTTGATGCTCTTCTTGTTAAAAGTCTTGTCACCTAGCCAAGGGAGTTCACAGTTTCCCTGTTCCTGTTGACATCTCCAGGCCTCTAAGTAGAAACAAGTTGTTTTGTGAAGATTTGTATTATTTAACTACACAAACCTATTGGATGGATCTGTTGCTCCAAGTATTCTGAATTAAATAGAAAGGCAGGATTCAGCCTTCTTGATGTTTGTTGGACTTAGAGCAGCAGCAGAGCTGTCACCCTGAGGCTTTTTAAAAGTATAAGGTCTTGTCCTCAGCTGACTTCCTGAATCACAATTTGCATTTTACCAAAATTAGCAGGGAGATTCACAGGTGCATAAATGTGATGCTTGAGAGGTAGCAGTGCCTGTGTGTCCCTGAAGGGAAAAGAGATGCTCCAAGAAAAAGAACAGGAGTGTTTTGGTCAAGAATGAGTGGGGATCCAGCAAGGACCATGCATACAGTGCCTCCTGGCATTCATGGCTGCTGTGTTACCATCCCGAGGACGTGGAGTCAGGGACAGTGAGCCACTGTCCCTGGGGGAGATGTGGGGTACAGGTTCTGGGAGCCTGTGTTCACAACACTTGCCACCTGATGACTACCCAGCCTTGTTTCATGTGTATTCCTGTTTAAAGACAGCTTCTTGGGATGCATGGGTGGCTCAGTTGGTTAAGTGTCTGCCTTTGGCTCACGTCATGATCCCAGGGTCCTGGGATTGAGCTGTAGTCCAGCTCCCTGCTCAGTTTTTCCCTCTCCCTCTGCCCCTCCCCCTGTTTGTGCTCTGTCTCTCTCTTTCTCCCTCTCTCTCAAATAAATAAATAAAATATTAAAAAATAAAGATAGCTTCTTTAATACATATGTATTTGTAAACAATTTATTGTATGGAGTATTTCCCCACACTTAAACACCAACTCAGAAGTGTGCAACATTTCCCAGCTCGGGTACTGTGATCGCCAGGGTCTTTGGCTTTCAGCCCCACAGCTGTGCTGCCCAAGATGGTTTTAGAGACTAGGAAACAGTCATCATCTCATGAATACAAGAACAAAGCTCCTTTTCCCCTTTTTCTTGGTGTCATCATGCCGTCATCATAGCCTCCTACATGTTACTTTAGCACTCTCTGGTGTGGCTCCACATTGATGTCATGAATATCCTGTTCCTTTTCTGGATTTACTGCACTGTTAACTCATTCACTGAACTCAGGGCCCATAGCTCTGCATCAGGAGCCTGAGCGAGCCTCACTTACACTGGTGTTTTGTCATGAGGCGCATCCCACCTTCTTCTGCTTAGGACACCAGTTAACCCTGCAGCTCTGGGCTTCAGGGCCATTTTAAACACTGAAATCACCTAGAAAGACCACAGAAGTGCAGAAAATATCGCACCAAATGGACCATGAATAGGACACATGTTTACAGTGTGGGAATTAACACAGGAAGGCAGAAGGGCACTTGGTTCACACTTGGCTTGGGACACCTGTGGTGGTTGACTCTTGTCAGGCCACTCTATGTGTCCATGAATAGTGGTGAGGGCCTGTGTCTGGGGGCTACAAATCAATGTCAGCAGGTAGGCCAATCAGTACAGACAGACTCCGAGAATAATGATGGACCTTTTGTGACTGATGACCCCCGTGGCAGTGTGAGTGGAGACATCCATAGCTAGACCTCAGTTACTCTCAGTTTCATTAATTAACTCAACAAACCATTCTCAAACACTGATTATGCAGCAGGGACATTCTGAGTGTCAAGTAGTGGGGAGGAAAATGTCTTCCCTGTCTTCAGAGCTTGAAAATTTTACTTTCTGATTTGATTGTGGTTTTCATTGCTCTTTCTAACCAGTTTGTTAGTCAGCAACTTATGTGGGTTGAACTAGGGGACAGGGGGTTAGTTCTTTTTTTTTTTTTAGGGCTGAAAGTGGGGCCCAAGACTGAAAAATGTCCAGAGGGACCATGTGCAGGGCCCAGCCCTACACATGTGGATGCTTCTGGAAAATAACGTTGAGATGGGAGAGGTGGCAAAGGTGAAAATATGGGAATGGGGAGAGCAAATCATGGGGACTTCTGCAATATCCCCACCTGAATCAGACTGCTTGGCTGTTTCTCTAACTCCCAGTCCACCTTGTCACCCTCTCATGGCCACCATGTGGATTTTGGTTGGTTGACTCCACCCTCATGTGTAACCTTGGGCTCTGATCAGCCTGAGGCCATCAGGAGAAAGCATATTTGTCAATGTGACATGTTGAGGGATGGACAGGTAATCTGCAGGTCAGGCCCATCATCAGACAGATGCCATTTGTATCATCCAGAGTGATGGTTCAAGGCCAGGAACCTACTCCAGGTGGTACAGGTCACACACAGCCTGATTCTTATGGAGGATGGAGGGAAAAGAAATGTGCTCTCTTGTTCTGGATGATAAGGTCAGGTTGTGAAGCCTGAAATAAGTACAATTTTCAGCATCAGAGAAGCAAGCTGAGGATGAAGCCTGCATGTAAGAAGGCAGAGAAATTGTATACATGAAATTTGCCAAGAGGGTAGATCCCAAGTGTTCTCACCTGAAGAAAGAAAAACAAAAGAAAAGAAAAAGAAGAGTTCTGGATGTGAGGTGGTGGCTGAGTTAACTGGCCTGGTTGTGGGCATCATGTCACCATGTACACATACACCAAACTTCTAATGGTTACTTCACTTTATGTTTTTAAAAGAAAATGTCAATTAAAGTATTCCAAGATGTGATGAATGCTACATAAAATATTAATTTTCATGATTTGCTTCAAATCAAGTTTCTTGACCAATTCCGCATTTTCCTTCTGAAATGCTGCATACCCTCACTGGAGGCACTGCAGGTAAGGACATGACCATTCAGGTGCAGTTCCGTGCATGCTCCATGTGCACCAGACTCCCATGGTTCTTCAGGCCGTCCTCTCTGAGAAGTTGTTGGAAGACTTTCCTCAGAAGGACTTTTGTTCATGTTACATCACAGGCTCTGCTGTACCTGTTAGAGCCCTCGAGGGTCCACATGGCCTGCGGTGTCCCCCAACCTTCTTCCCTGGGAAGCTGGAAGGCGGCACACTATCTATAGGTCCAATGTTCATTTGTCACCATACTCCAGTGATGCCGAAAATAGCAGCAATAACAAAACCGAAGCATCAAATAAGTGAAGGCAGACACACAGACTCACAGAAGGTGCTGGAGCCCCAGTCACTCTGGGCTCCCCAGTTCCATCAGCCAATACATTCCCCACATGGTTTCAGCTCTACATGGTGGACTTCTATCCTTAGTGACTGGAAGCTCCCCTCTGATGGACGTGGACGTGGCCTCAGGGGGACACTGGGCTAATGTCTCCCTTCCTTGCAATGTTCCTCCTCATTTCCCTCTTTCTTTCTCTGGATTCTTGAAAATATTCCTCTATTCCTTTCTTGTCTGTTTGCTTTTTTCTTCATGTGCCCTCATATTGTGACACTCACCCTGTCTTGCATGTTAACCCTGCCATCTGGATCAATTCCTGTCCCGGGTGTTTTCATGGATTTCTAACAAACCACTGGTCAGGAATTGAGGTGCTGTGTCTGCTGCTGATTAGTGACTGGCAGAAATTCATCCTCCAGGGTTTTCATAGAGACCAAAGGACAAGCTGCACCAGCACAGGATAAATCGGGAAGTGCTGTGGTAATGACAGTTAAATATTCAACATGCAAGAAATTTTCTGTAGATTTCTTCCTGACACAATATGTCCATTCATTCTTTCATTTCATCATGTATTCAGCTTTTCCTATTTTTATGGTAAATATATTCTCCGTGAGTGGTTCCACTGTGTATGAGAGGCAGCTCTGTGTCCAGATATTTAAGATACAATGAATAATCTCTTCCTCCAAGCTTGTTCCTTTTTTGATGTTTACATTGAATCACCCAGAGGCTAACTTCAGAAATCTTTGTAGGTTTTCTGTCCCAGCTTTTTTGTTTTTGCCAAGTTATTCTCTACAAAATCTCTGAAAACTTTCTTCCCTTCCCTATGGTGGGCCTCATGAACATCCATATGGGGTGTGGACAGAGCTTTCCTCTCTCCCTGCAAGCATTCCTGTTGGTTTCCTAAAAAGAGGCTCTACCTCAGCCACAGTGGGCTTGCATTTAAGGGATGGAAGTGTCCACTGGGAGAACCTCCTCTTGGAAAGTTCTAGACTATAGTCTGGTGGCCAGTTTGTGATTGGACATAGGAGAAAGGAGAAATGAGAACTTTCTGGATCTGGCAGTTGGAAGGAGGGGCAGTCTTGTCTGAATCCATGGGCTGACAGGGAGCAGGTGAGAGAGTGATGGCGGCCACTCCCACTCTGCAGACGTGGCAGGTTCTGGGCATTGTGCCCCCACTCTGCATCCCTCTCCTGACTGCTGGACATAAAAGTAATGTGATCAAGTTGAAAGGTGAGATATTTTAAAATGTGAAGTTAGGTTGAATAGTAAAAGTGTGTTAAGTTAGTATGTGATGTTTTCCTAATTTATTCATTAGATCCTAATTTTGTTCTAAACTTGTTAATGGCATGTAAGAGCCATTTTTTTTATTATGTTATGTTAGTCACCATACAATACATCATTAGTTTTTGATGTGGTGATCCACCATCCATTGTTTTCGTATAGCACCCCGTGCTCCATGCAGTACGTGCCCTCCTTAAGCCATTTTTTTTTTTTTAGGACATTCAGACATGTGACTAGATGGCTACAGTCAGCTTTGTACGTGAGAGAAGAGTTAACTCATCCTTAGGTGATCACATTTATGAATCTTTATGTTTACTATTTGTAATAATTTCATTAGAATCCTTTAAGGTTTAATTATTTTAATTGTTTGTGGTCACCTTAAAAAAATCATTTTCTTATTCTCACATGAGAGTAAGTTTACTTGGCCAAGTCCAGAGCAAGCTGCAAGTGTCCAGGGAATTTCTCTGTTCTAGAGAGATTACAAATGAACTTGAGAACAAGGATAAGTACTGCAGGGAGAAAGAAGGGAAAGGACATTTCTTCTCAAATGAGGGCTGGACACGTCTGCACACAAATGCATGCTTCCTCATTAGCAGGAAGGAAGGAGAAGCCAACCTAGGGCATGTATCAGCACAATTAGTATTAGCCTTTCTTGCAGTGAAATCCACTTTCTGTGTGACTTTAGTTTGGGGCTAGGTACACGCATTGGTGAATTTGATCATTGCTGTGGTCTCTACATTTCAGAAATAATTTGCTTATGCTTTGTCCCCTTTTCTGTGGTGACTTGTAACTTGAGTCCTTCAGTATTTTTAACGGGATGCAGACCTTAAAGGACCATGAACAAGGTGTGTATCTGGCCTCTGTTTCTGCATTTGTTCAGTTTTAAATATTCCAGACTACTAAACAGTGGTCACTAAGGACTGGTTTTCGCAGTCTTATGGACAGATATTGCTTTTACATTGCTGAGTACTTATTCTCTTTTTCTGGCTCAAAATGATTGTGAAGTGACAAGTATTGGGAGAATTTACATCTTCAAAAGCATTTATTTGTGAGCAAGACGGACTAAAAACATATGAGTTAAGATTTTAATCAAGAAGCTAGAAAAAAGACAAAGTCAGTAAAAATCTAGAAGGTAAAAAATTCATTTAAAAGCACTAAAAGTTAAAAAGAAAGAGCAAAACAAACAAACAAAGGATAAAAGTGACTGACAACACCAAAGATGGCCTTTTGAGAAAATTAATAAAAATATAACAGTTCTCTCAGAACTGATCGAAAGAGTAATAAATATGAGAAAGTGGACATGTTACAGGAATGGCATATAGATTGAATAAGAACATGTTATTTATGATTTATATCAACACATTCGTTATAGATAAAATTTTATCTTAAAAAATCCTAGAAGAGGGAGAAAGTCTGAATGTACCAGGCTTGCTAAGGAATAGGAGAGAGGGTCAGAGTTCCTGCTAGTTGCACAGGGTCCTAGGTACAAACTAGAGGTGCAGCAGGTAATTACACTCCAGATGCTTTGTTCCAGGCAGAGAAAAGGATAGGAAAGAACCCCAACTAATTGTCCAATGCAAAATCGTCATGACACCAAAGCCAGCAAGGCTTTTTCCAGAAAAAAAATAAAACAATTATTAAAATAGTGATTATCTGCTCACCTCATTTTTGCATACTTACAGGGAAATTAGATATTTGCAAACAGAAACCAGCACCAGATGAAGTGGGATTATCCATAGAATGCAAGGACTGTTTACCATTAAAAATCTCTTAATAGTATCACTTTAACAGATTAAGAAAATAAAGGCATATAATCATCTCCAGAGGTACAGAAAAAGGCATTTGATGTATTTAAATGTCACCTCTGATAAAACCTGCCAACCCAGAATAGAGGGAAACGTAGTGGCAAACAGCCTGTATGACACATATTTGATTCTAAAGGTTGAAAAACATTCCAGTGAATCAAGGACAAGATGCTGACCCACTGGAATCCTCAATCCTCTGTAGAATACTACAAGCCCTTCTTAATCCAGCAAGGCAAGGCAAATAAGGAGGCATGAAAATAGAAATTAAAGAAAATATTATTATTAATGCATATCATATGATTATATATAAGAAAATAAAAAGTTAAATATTGGGAGTAATAAGAGAGTTCAGGAACTTATCTAGATAAAAATTTAACATGTAAATAAAAATTGTAAGG